CCTTGTAGTATCATCACATAGTATATAATTGAAACAAAACATCATCATCATCACACATGTAATATAACAACATACATTGTATACATCGAGTATTGTGTTTGAATATTACATGCCAAAATAATTAAAGTACGATGAAACAAAATATAACAAAACATCCATTAGTTTGTTCAGCCCAACCTGCTTCAACGGTTTCCTGAGAATACAAGTTAATTTAAAAAGGTCAACATAAAAATGTTGGTGAGTTCATAAGCATGTTTGTGAAAATGATTTGTATAACTTTGTAATCACAAGAAAATCCTATATTTTCTTAAAATAGTTTAGTATGTTTGTGTCCGATCTTGTATTAATGCATGTGTGTTATTGTTTAATAGAATGCCAAAAGAGAATGAAAAGAATGTAAAGAGAATGCCCCCAGACAACCCTATGTTGCCTGTACAAGAGAATGCTAGTATATCAACCCTCGAGGTTGAGTACCAGCGCGAGTATGTTCCCGAGTAATCCAAAGAGAAAAGAGAATGGTCTCCCGTGAATTTCATAACGTTAATTCCTCTAAGTGAGTCGTTATAACCATACTAGATAATGACAATTTCGCATGTCTTGGCGTCTATGGACGCCGACGGAAAATAGAATAAGGTTCTCGTCACCCTAGACTGGTGTAGTCTAACTGTAGCGAACAGCTCAGGTGTGGGGTGTCATCCCCGTATAGATCTATACACAAACCCCCGCTCTCCCTCCAAGAGACTATGTTTATAACTACAGGCTACGATCGTACACTCAATAGGTATCAACCGACACGTCTCACTAGATCCTTAATCGAATTTACGCGAAGAGAAACATATAAAACATATTCCAGGCTCAATGAACCATGTAAGTGAACAACTAAGGCTCACTAAACATGTACGTCATTTCCAGGCCCGAAAGGAATGAGATTATATAACATGGGCCCAAAATATATGTAAAAATGACAACTAAGGCCCAGTTCACATGTAAGGTATTTACAGGCCCAAATAGCACGCAAAGAGTATCCAAGGTCCGTCGAGCATGTTAATGGGTCAATGAGGCCCAATAAACATATAAAGAGTATTTAGAACCTATCAAGCATATAAATGGGCCACTAAGGCCCAATAACATGGGAGAGACAAAAATTTGCCCATTTGTTACATTATTGCTTGTTTTAGTTCAAATATTTACCAAAATGGCATAAAAGGCCCACTTTTTGTAAAAATGACATTCTTAGCCCATTAAGCCAAAAATTTACAACTAAGGCCCAATTTTAGTAAAAAAAACATTTCAGGCCCCTTTTTTGGACAAAAATTTCATTTAAGGCTAGTTTTTGTAAAAATAACATTTTTAACTCACTTTTGTCAAAAATATCATTTTTGGCTTGATTTTTATAAAAATACATATTTTCGGCCCATTATAGACAATTTCATCTTTTTGGTCCAAATTTTTATATTTTCACATCCTTAACCCTTCTTATCAAAAATTTACATTTTTGGCACAACATTCTTGAAAATGACATTTAAGCCCACAAAAGATCAAAATTACAATTTTTGGGCCCAAAACCGTGAGAAACCCAAATAAGGCCCATTTATGAAAATGTTTACATTTTTAGTCCTTGTAAGGTCTCAAATGTCGAGATTAGCCATGTTTAGCAAAAAATTCCTTTTGAACCCCTTACTAGCCGTGAGTTACATAAATAACCCATATTTTTGTCACTTTGTCGATTTTAGCCCCTTTTATGAAATTTTTCTTAGCTTCAAGTAACCTAAATGTATTTTAAACCTTTTTCTTGTAAGATGAGTTGAAATGAGTGTTCTGTCATACCAATATCATCATCTTTTAGTAGATCTTTAAGTTCATGAAGTTTCTAACACATAAACACATATAACTAGAAAAACACACAAAATCATGAATACACACATAGATCTACACAAAACGACTTGTATTCTCCCCCAAAACAAAGTAAAAATCGAAAATAGGTGGTATGAACTCACTTTGCTTTGAAGTTTTCGGTTTGTGGTGAGGAAATGAGAAGTTCTCAGTCCTAGATGTGTTCTTGAGAAGATTTTCGAGATCTATGAAGTCCCAAGAGCATGGATCATGAAATGATGTGGGTTAGGATGACATTTTTGGTGTAAACTTGAAGTTAAACCATAAAGTCAAACAAGAACTTATCAAAAGTGATGAGCTTGATGAAGAGTTCTTAATGTGCCCTTAAAACTCACGAAAACCAGGAGGATGGAGGAGGAAAGTTCTTGTGCTAGAGAGGGAAATAAGATGAGAGAATCTTGAGTTTGAAAATGAAGAGTGATGGTGGTGATGGAGGCTTTTATGGCCGAGAGTGAGAAGAGAGGACAGAGAAGGACTAGACCTTGCATGGAAGTATGGGATTTGGTAATTACATGAGGTGTATTAAGCTTAATTACATGAAGGATATTAATGAGGTGTCATGATCTTAATATGCCTCCATATTTCATTTCTCCCTTTTTTTTTATTGGGCCGAGAATGGGGAAAGGAAAAAGGGAATGAAAGAGTTTGGGCCTTTTCTTGGTTTAGTTCGAAATTATGAGGCCCAAGATGAAGATTTTCGGCCCATTGGGCCCTTATGGGGGGTTCACGGCCCAATAGTGATAAGGAAAAAGGGTTTACGGCCCAATGATGCCCAAGAATATAGTTTACGGCCCATTAGGGCTTATGAAACCATTTATGGCCCATCATGGCCCATTAGAGATAAGATGAATCATTCTAGGTCCACATTACCCAAAATACTTTAGTTTCATGCATGTAGGTCCAATTAGAGCCCAAATAGGGTTCCTTGGCCCAAAATAGTCAAATTGAAAGTTTACTGGTCCATTAGGCCCAATAAGAGGATCCTAGTCCATAATAAATTTGAGCCGGGATTTTTAGGGTTTTTAACCCATAGTTGAATATATGAGATGTATTGCATTAGGTGTTGAACTTCACTCAGGAGTTTTGATTCAAATGGATGATTTCATTTTAGCATATAGTATGATTTTCACTTAGAGTACAAGTCTTACAATAGTTGATGTTTACATGAAAATAGAATCTGCTAGCTAAAAATGCTAGTTGTGACATTAACTAAATTGGTATAATCTTAAAGAATAACATTGAAGTCATTTTTGGGTTGCCCTCATAACCAAGAAATAGCTTGGACTGATTATAAGAGATAGACAAATGATTTACTAATATATAATATATGATTGATATATTAATTGGAAATAGTAATATGTAATTAAAAATAATCAGAATTAATTTGGAATTAATTCTAGGTTAATTAGAATTAATTAGAGGTACAAGGGTTGGACTGCAATTGTTCAACAGTTGAGCAAAAGAGACAGTTCAAAATCTTCCTAAAAGTGGACAGTTTTGGAGCCCTTCTTTAGGGTTTTTGAAAGCCTCCAACTCAGATAAGGAAAAAGAAATTGAATAAGGATAAAATACTATTGTTTTATTATTCAAATTTAGGGTTTCTAGATTATTTGGCAAGTATAAATAAGGGTGTCCCCTAGCCAAATTTGTTCATAACCTTTCATACCTCAAGAAATCAAATTGCTCCTCTCCCCTCTCTTCTATATTTGATCCTAGGGTTTTAGGTGTGATACATTAGAGACTACCAAATAATTGTAGCTTGTTTTCCAAGGAGATCTTCAAGTGTTTGATTCACCTAATTTGAATTAAGCAAATGTATGTTTTCTACTCATGATTTCAATTATCATTGGGTTCTAGTTTTGTTTCATAAAATATGTTGTTATTAATAGTGAAAAGGCATAGATCCTTTTAGATTACATGTGTCATAAGTGTTTATGTGAAATTCCACAAGTACATATGATTTATAACCTAAAAACCCCCATTAGCTCATCCAATGTAGAAATGGTTGTTTGACTTGATCCATATTTATGTAAGTGAGGTCTCTCCCATACAATACTTGGACAGGGTGAAGTGTTGTACCGATACTCGGTCCAAGGCAATGATTGGGCCTAAGTTTTAGGCTTTCTTTGAATGAAACACCTCAAATACGTCTCCATCGTCTTATTCACCATTTTGGATTGCCATCCGTCATTCTCTATTTAAGCAAAGTATCATGAAAACGAAAATCTCTTTAAAAAAAAAACCCATAAAAGGCGATGGACATTGGAAAACCATAAAGTCGGAAAATTTCTTTAACAAATAATGTCGCCACTGTTACCATGTGAATGGATGTTTCAAGCTCAAAAATAGTCTATCTGCCACTATGAACACCGTATCCACGAGTGTGAGACTTGGGCAAAGATTCCACAAAATAAATCGATATCGCATCCTACCCATGGTTAGGAAGGCTTAGGAGCTGAAGTAGATCCAAAAGATGCATAGTGGAGTGTTTATCTTGTTGGCATATCTTACACTCCTAGACATATTTGATGACCGCTTTTTGTATTCGCATCCAAAACCACTTCATGGCAAGTCGTTGGTATGTCTTCAATTCACCGGAATGCGCCTGAATCGTGATACCCATGGAGCAATTTAGGGATATAAAATGAAGATTGTGTAACTACTAACTAAAAAAGTTGATTTTTTGGCATTAAGAAATTCAATGCACCAAAACATCCTTTACTCTTGCTACCAATATGAGCAATGTGCTTTATCTTTTACCCACAATAACGACATACTTATGTTTCTTTACTGATAATAGCAATTTACTTTATGTTTACCTATAAAAGCAACATACTTACATTTCACTACTTATATGGGCATAGTACATTTGTTACGTATTGCTATTCTTGATAAAAGTACACTGCTATTATGAATAAGGAGTTGCTATCACATTTCAAGAAAATGTAATTATGTTTCTGTTTTGGGTAAAAATGATATAACCACATTGCTATTACGGTTAAAAATAAAGTATATCTTCTTCTGCAGCCGACCACTATCTCCAACCACACAAAACCTTCATCAAAAACTTGGAGTAAACAACATCATACAATCCAATTTGTTCATTTTCATTGAACTTGATGTGTTCCATGTTCATCATCAATCTTCCCAACTGCATCAAGTATTGATGAATAAGTAATATCATCATATTCAAAACCACATGATCTCATCTCCCTCATCAACTTTGCAGCCTCCTCAAACATACCCGCATGACTAAGACACCCAAGAAGAGTATTATAAGTGACAACATCCGGCTTCAACTTCATACGTTTCATATTTTCAAACATAATCATCGCCCGATGTGGGCCCCCGCTTTTAGCCACTCCATTTAAAATAATATTATGCGAGTTTATATCACCTACACAACCACTTTCTTCCATATCCCTCATTAAAGAACACGCTTCATCTATCAATCCACCCCTTACCATACCCGACATGAGTGCATTATATGCATACACATCAGGAACAGATCCAAGTTTCTTGATTTCATTAAAAAGATCTTTCGCTTCGTTTAATTTCCCACATTTTCCTAAGTTTTTTATCATTATAGCATAAACCCTTGAGCTAGAATTCCCACAATTCTCTCTTAGTTCTTGAAACAACTCGTTTGCAGCTTCATAACGTTTTGCTTTTCCAAGTGTGTTGATTAAACTACAGTAAGCAGCTGGGCATGGAGGGAAACCCTTTTCGTCCATTTCTTCTAGAAGTAATAATGCTTTTTTCTACTTTATTTGTTTTACAAAAACCATCGATTAATATGGAGTAAGTGAAAGAGGTGGGAACAATGTTGTTAGTTTTCATCTTCTCAAACAATGAAGAAGCTTCATGGGAAGCTTTGGATTCAAAAAAAGCTTTTATCATAGTGTTGTATGTCACCACATTTGGTTCAATTTGAAAAGATGACATTTCATTGAACACCTTCCGGGCATCAGATAAACGACCACTTTTCCCCAATATGTTGATGACATTGTTTATGAGAATGACATCAGGCTTACAACCGTGTTTGACCATGTCTATGTATATCCCATATGACTCTTCTACCCTTCCAGCTTTCCCAAGCCCCCTTATTAACTCTGTGTAGGTGTATACAGTAGGCATACAACCTTTCTCTTTCATCTCTGTTACTAAATCTAGAGCTTTTTCTACTTTACCAGCTTTGAAGTATATTGATAATAAAGTCGTGTAGATCTTAGCATTTGGATGAAACCCATTTTCCTTCATTTCATCAAACAATCGTATAGCAGGATTATCATGGCCTAATTTGGCAAATGCTGACATTAGAGCACTGTATGTTATAGTGTCGGGGAAGCAATTACCTTCATTACACATCTCACTGTAAAGATCATACACTTTTTCAGGGTGATTTTCTTGCATTAGCATCAGGATAATGGAGTTATAAGTACTTGCAGTTGGCTTGCACTTGCGACCTTTGACTTGATAAAAAAGTGAGAGTGCTTTGTTGACCATTTTAGCCTTGCCTAATAGTCTCACAATGTCTGATAAATCTTTAGGATCGATGACAACTGATTGTCGAACCATTTCTTGGATCATCTTCCACATCTCCCCGAACATTTCAGAGTCAGATAAACAAGAAATTAAAGTCATGTAAGTAGTGGAATCATGCACGAAATGTCGTCTCTTTCCAGCCCACTTGAAAAATTGCATCTTGACATTAATGTCCACATCTATGTTCAAAACCTCACGAACTAATCGATGATCAACTCTTAATTTCAGTACCTCTAGAGCCTTTTCTGCATCAGGCCCCCACTTGAATATCTTCAAAATCCTGATAAATCTCTCATCCAACATCCTTGCAGAGCTCTTTCTTGATGTTCTTTGATTGGTGGGTAAATTCCTTGAATCTTCTCTGGGACGCGACAACTGGAACATTTGAACGATTTCATTTTCTGCAATGACAAATAAATATGCCCAATTTAAGATACAGCAGATGGATGGAGATGATGCAAACATAGGATAATGAAATGAAAATGATGAACTGTCTTTGAAGCTGTAAGAGAACAAAAAGAACAATGCACATTACCTGTTTGCTTAATTCTCTCATAATGAAAAGGCGTGGTAGTGATCGACCGTCGTAAACTGATTGACATGTTCGTCGTCTTTGTCATCACTTCACAAAGTATAGCTGAAATACATAGGGATGAGCAGAACCGGGTACCCGCCTATTTTAGCCAGAACCGGAACCGCTCCCGGAACCGGCGGTTCTTAGGTTTTGGGTATTGGAACCGGAACCGCCTACACCAATTCCTAGAAAATTGGAACCGCTCCCGGAACCGCCGGAACCGGTTCCGGTTCCGGGTACCCGGCTTCATGATAATTTACACTTTTTATTGTATACATTTCATTGAAATAAACTTTTATAAACAATAAGAGACTAGGACTACAATATAGAAAACTAAAATAATCATAAAAACTTGATCTCAAAACACCATCCCAACACAATTGGAATTTAGCAAGTAATATAACAAAATGACAATTTTCAGCAATAACAAAAGTCAAAACAGCAAACAGCCAAACAACATTCTGCAAGTTTTCAAACAGCACAAAAACAGCAAAACAGCATCAACAGGAAACAATAAACAGCCAAACAACAACAGCAAAACAGCACCAGCAGCAAGCAAAAAACAGCAAACAGCAAGCCAAACAGCAACAACATCATTCTTTGTTATTGAAGAAACATTAGAATAATGATTATATAGTTTATTCAAAACCTCAAACACTTGAGCATATAGTTCTTCAACCTTCTTGAAGTCCAAAGGATAGATTTTTCTTAGAGAAAACTTCACAAATGAATGGAAGTAGCATATGCTTAACGATGCTTAACAGTTAACAACATCAGTTAACCAACTCATCTCAGTTAACAGGTTATCAATTCATATGAGAGAAATTCGAAATTGAAATTGGGGAAAATCGAAATTGAATACCAACTTATCTCAGTTAACCATTAACAGTTAACAATTAACAATTTAACAAGTTCTTGTAACATATGCAAAGCGATGGAACCGAGCAATCATCGACATAAAAATCTAACATATGCAATAATCGAGTGGAAGTAACCGATGCTATCACTGACAAAAAAATCTAACATATGCAAAGCCATGGAACTAACCTTGAACAGGAAGATGCGATTGAGCCGATTGAGCAGGAAAATACGATGAAGAAGAAGAACTGCCCGGGATAGGATGTTGCAAACTCGAGTACTCAACAAGACTCACAAGAGGGTTACGTGAAGTGAACATGAGCTGATGAGCATTCAATATTTTGAAGAACGACTGAATGAGAACCAGAGTCAAGATCATTCAGCTCAAGAACGAGAACGAGAGTAGAGAGTAGAGGCTGAGAAAGTGTCGGCGTTTTTAGAATGAATTCAAGAAAAAAAAACCTAACAAGTCTTACGTCTTTGACCTAAAGTAAATAACATTTTTATTTTTTAAAAGCAAAATCATCAATATATATATATATATATATATATATATATATATATATATATATATATATATATATATATATATATATATATATATATATAATAAATGAATAGTTTTAATCTCCATTTGACATGTGTCACTCTAATACAACTCTTCATTAATATCATCCCACAAGTCAAAGAGATATATTAGGGAACACTTCAAAATTTAAATTTATTTTTTCTAATTATATGTTAAATTTGAAGTTATAATAACTTTAAAAATTTGGTATATCTCATAATTAATGATTTATTTAAAGTAATTGATAAATAATTTATGAGTTTTTACTAAGAAAATTTAATTTATTTTGTAACCGTGGTTCCAATATATATATATATATATATCTATATATATATATATATATATATATATATATATATATATAGTATTTGCTTTAGAAAAGGCGGGTACCCGCCGATACCGGTTCCGGGTACCCGGTATTGGAACCGGAACCGTCGGTTATCCAGCGGGTAACAGTTTTAAGAAATTGAGAATTGGAACCGGAACCGCTTTAGGCGGTTCCAACACTTTGGGAACCGGAACCGCTTAAGGCAGTTCCGGTTTCAGAACTGGCAGTTCCGAGGCGGTTCCGGTTCCGAAAGCAGGTACCCGCTTTTTCTGCTCATCCCTATAAATACATACCTAACCTTCACAGTTCCAAATCGTCAGATGCATGATTTACCGTTTGAAACCCTTTGCTGGCGTCGCAAAACATTCCCGGGCAACTGAATCTTACCCGAGTCACAAAGGCTTAGGTTTGGAGATTTCGAGTTCAGAAATTTGATATGGTACAGGAATATAGGGGGTGGGGAGGAGAAGGGAGGTGTGGCAATGGTGCGGAAGAGGGTTCGATGATTAGGGTGTTTTTGTTCTAGAAAGGGGTTCAGTTTTTCCAGAAAAACATAAAAAATAGATACCGAGTATTCGAGTTTACTAAAAAATTTAGAAGTTAAAAATGATTAAGATGTATTTTTCATTAAAAAAAACGTGTTTAGATATATAATTTTTTTGATTTTTATTTTTTACTTTTTTGTTATTTTAAATAATAATATTTTATAAACTACCTATATAAATATTGTGTACGATTTTTTAGAAGGGATAATGACTTAAAAAGGTAATATATTTTTCGATTTGTACACATTTTGTCATTGAGTTTTTTTCGTTCATATTTACCCCCTTCAACTTGTTAAACTGTACACATTCAGTCATTATGACCGGTTACTTCAGGTTAGCCGAGAAAAATGACTTAGGATTTGTTTGATATCTTGCCGACTCGGTTCAGGTCACCATGTTCGATAATTGGTATTTTTGTTTGATCCGGTCCAAAACCACTGACCCACTTTCTGACTCGGTCCCATATTAAAAAGAAGCTGACTCGGTCATTTTGCTTGATTGCCCTCATTTGTCCTTCTACCAAAACACAATTGTTCTTCACACCTTTTTTCTTCGTCGCCAAATTGATGAACAATATAACTACATCGCTTCTTCCTCAAACTCCAACCACCTCTTCTAATGCTCCAGCAACCACTTCTTCTGCCTCTAACCCTCTCGCCGACCACCATCTTCGCTGCAGCAGACAACCCCGTCGTTGGTACTCCACCATCGTTGTAGTACGTTTTTGTACTAGTCGGCTGGGTATGATATCGACGACTGGTAAAATTGAAAAAAAAAACTTATATTTTATGTAATTGATTGTGTATACCTCCTTCATATAAGGCAGTGATTCACTAATTTGACTAGTTCGATATGGTTGACAGTGGATTAAGAATAGAATGAAAATTTTAGATGGTTAAAGAAGTTGCAGTGGAAATAGTTGAGGGATGGATAAAAGATATCACAATATCTTATTTTTGTGTGAGATTAAGAGATAGGAATGAAGTTTGACTTATCTGGAATTAAGAAAAAGAAGAGCTAGTTACTGCCAAATGTTTTTCTTGTCTATAGGGTACATCCTAGACATTGTTTACAAAGGCAACTCCACTATCCATTACTGTGACAAACAGTTTGTGTAATGCCCCGTTTCGAATAAAGTCCTAAATCGAGGTTGAGGCCCGAGGAGCGGTCATCATAAGGATTAGGGCCCTTATAAAGGTAACACTTAGGCCCATTTGGATGTGGGTAATGTAGGTATGTGACCCAATAGTTAGATTTGCACTTTGGAGTCAAGGGTAAAGCGGGAATGTAGTGTTTCAGACTTCTTTTATGAATTTTGGATTTTAGTTCGGTCGGTTTTCAGGTTCAATAAATTTGATAGAAGTGTGGGGCTTCTCGTTACCTTTTCATGGATATAAAGTTCGTCGGAAACGGACTTAGAATGAAGGAGTTATAACATTTTAAAGTTATTAGCAGAATTGGTCCTTAACGGAGAAAGTGTAACGCCCCGATCCTCAGGTATTAATTTATGGTTATAATTTTCATAATTTCAAGGTCTACTCGACGAGTTGGATGCCCTGACTCGTCGAGTAGCAACGGGTTGGGCCACGTGTTTAAGTGACCTACTCGCCGAGTCCAAGATGGGACTTGACGAGTAGGAGCTGGAGGATGAAACCCTAATTTCCGGGGTTTTGCACCCTTTTTAAAGGATCATTAGCCTCCTTTGGCCTCCTTACAGTCCCTTGAGAGTCCAGCAAACCCTAATATGTGTGTGTGCTCCATTTGTGTGCTTTAAGCTTTGGAAGTGGATTCTTGGTGAGAAGAGCTTGGAGAACAAGTGACTAGAAGCAAGGAACGTGTGGGGATCAGAAATCTACCTCAGTTAGAATCATTTGAAGGTATCAAGTCGTTACCTTGACCTCATTTCCTTCTGGATCTCATTTGGGTAAAGATTAGGGCTTTTATAGCATATTATGAAGCTTTTCTTGTGCATGAGCTAAGATCTGAAGTTGCAACTTCAGATCTGAACTCCCTTGGGTCTCTAAGTCCATAAAGCTTCCAGCTTTTGCAAGTATGAACCTCTCCTTAGGTGTAAAACTCCATTACTAGTTTGGATTTGTTATTATGAGTCTCTATAACCTTGTATGCACGTAAAGTTTGCAACTTTACGTGATAAACATGCCTTGGGAAACTGGATCTGCAATATGGAACCTTAAAATGGCTTAAAAAGCATCTGAATGGATGGAGGACTGAAGGGACTCGGCGAGTTGCATGGTCAACTCGGCGAGTTCGATGAAGATTGTCATGCAAGGACTTCTACATGGACTCGGCGAGTCAGTAGGGTGACTCGGCGAGTCAACTGGGGTTTTCCCGACATTGGACACGCATGAACTCGGCGAGTTGTAGGGAAACTCGACGAGTCATTGGGGGGATTTCACGACTACTCGAGTTCTGGAAGGACTCGACGAGTCGGTGACTACACTCGACGAGTCGGGTCAAAATGGACTGTTGACCTTAACCGTTGACTTTGAATTTGACCAAGGGTTAACTATTTGGCTTCTGGGGCATTTTGGGAATTTATGAACATGGTTGTGTGGCGAATATAGTTGGTGGAGTTTGTGGTGGTGACCCGAGAGTTTGAGCTTATCTTTTGAGTCGACAGTTGCGAGGTGAGTTATCCTCACTATACTCAAGGGTCTAAGGCACCAAGTCCGGCCCTTTGGATTGTTATCTGGACATGTTATGCTAGTATGATCTGTTAGATCGGTATCCTAGAGGGTAGGATGGTATTATGTGGTATGTGGTATGATCTGTTAGATCGGTATCCTGGTAGATAGGATGGTATTATGTGTTATGTGTTATGATCCGTTAGATCAGTTGTTGTCTATAGACTGTTATGTGATTATCTGTTATATGTGCACATGTTTGTTCGGCGGTTGAGGCTTATCTGCTTTGTGCGAAAGCCAATAGACCTGGGCATTCCAACCAGTTGGTTGTGGGTCGTGAGTATTCCATCCCGAAGATGATTGGAATCATAGTATGTGGGTATTCCAACCTGTTGCTTGTGGGCCTGGGGTATTCCATCCCAAGGATGATTGGACCCATAGTATGTTGGCTTTCCAACCTGATGGTTGAGGGTCTGGGGTATTCCAACTCGATGATTGACTGGACCCATAGTATGCTGTTTATGATTATATGTGTATTGTTGTGGGTATGGGTATTTTGGGGGAACTCACTAAGCTTTCGGGCTTACAGTTTCAGTTTATTGTTTCAGGTACGTCAGGGGATCACGGCAAGGCGAAGGCGTGATCGTACAGCTCCTCATGTTTTGTTTATGTTTCTGGGAAAACTCTGATATAGACTATTTTGAAAACAAATTTGTAATCACTGTTAGTTTTTAAATGTTTTGAAAAGTTTTAAATTGGCTTGAATTTTATGGGTGTTACAAGTTGGTATCAGAGACTTGGTTTGAGTGAATTGGAGGAACATTCGTGTGAATCCAGTCTCAAATCAAAGAAAGATTTTCAAAATGATTTCTAAATGGTTTTCAAAATTAGTAAAGGAGGATACAGGGTGTACGATCAGCCGGAGCCAGTAAGTAGACTCCAAAATACCATACAATTATTTGATTATGTGATATGTTAGAACAACATGCTAGTGCTAGGCTAAGGATATTCATGAATTGCATGATAGAATTGTCTGATTACATGATACATGCTAGCCTAGCTTTTCCTTTATATGAGATTCACATCATTACTGTAGTTGCTTAGTGTATGCATCACGGTTATACATAATTAAGATCTTATAGTCTGAGAATGTTGATTTGGCCTTATGTTCTGTTCTTGTTTGATTGGGAGCTTAGGGTAGGATTGGATATTCAAAAGACTATGGGGTCAAACGTTATGTATGGCTACCATACACTAGTGCTGCAGGGTTTGTAATGCCCGCAAATTCGGGATAGTCAATTTAGAGACAATAAGCGTAAAAAATGACTTTTTAATAGAAGATTATTCATAATAAATAATCTTAACCAAGTTATAGTATA